AGAAAAAAATTTGGAAGACTTTTGTTGTCTTGAATCAAGACGAAAAATTTTTAAATCAAGTAAAATATACTTAAACCAAGAAGAATTTCTTAGTTTAAGAATTTTTCAATTTTTCTATTTAAATCAAGAAGATGAAGTTCTTAAAAATTATTTACTTAATTCAAGTAATTTTTTTTTTTGTGCACCTTTTAAATGCGAGCAAACGTCATACGGAAGTGATTATTCATGTATTTGAATAAATCTGAGCTGAAACTAGTACGCTGGTGAAGGAAACCGGGCAGAGTGACGTAATTTATTCGGTACATGATGTATGTCCGGTGTCGAGTCGCATCGACGCTCACTGTTACTATTACTATGATAGTTAGTATACACTGTATATAATAGTAGTATGGATGAGACTCTTCTCTCTTCTTTCAGCGTGAAACAGATTAACTATCCGGAGTACCGAGGTACTGAGAAAGATAGAGAGGATTGCTGGCAGTGTACTGGCGGCCCTTGCTATTGCGTGCGTGATTAAACTACGTAAATCACGTTAAGCGTCCTGGCATCTCTTAATTAATCATTTAACGCCACTTTGTCGCTTGGGTTGAATCCTCCTCGAGTCTACGGAGTGTATATTATACGTAAATAGTACATATGGATAAGAATTTTTTAAACAATATCTATTTTATTTTTGTAGATTTAATGATATGATAATAATTATTTTTGAGAAAATAATTACTTTATCGGGCCTGGTTGATTGCAGAGGGCGAGATGTGAGTAAATTCGACGTAACATCTCTATACTCATTGCAGATAGAAGCCCAAGCAAACAAATTCTGGAGAAGAGGGTGAAGTGCACCTGCTATGCCGGTTAGTGGTATCTCCGGAGATGGCATAGCTGGCAATCCCGCGGCGCTATTACCCACAAACGCGTCGCGGCGTAATTAATATGCTCGAACCAATAAATTGGAATTTATACACGTCGGGAGACTCTCTGAAGGGGGGAGATTGCTAGGGTGTAGATCTAACTATAACTTAAACTCGTTCTCGTTCGATAGGTAGCCGTTCTGGTGGAGGTAGATAGATCGCTCCTCCTTGCTGAAGAATTTCCTCTAGGCAGCTATAACTCTCGGGTGCCTGCATATTAATACTTTTTAATTGTTTCGGAAGAGGTTTAACCTTTAGGCGAATGCTACTTTGCATCAAATCAACCTACCGCTTGTTTTATTGCTTTTATTTTTAAACTTTTGCGGGTTTATTATTGTTATAATAATGATAAGTTTTTTGGATTTTTTTTTGTACTGATATTTTGGCTAAAAAATCAAAAATATGAAAAAATTGATTACACAGAAAGAAAAATTTCTTGACTGAAGAATAAAATTCTTGGCTCAAGAAAATTTTTTGGTGCCTGAAGAAAGACCAAAGTTGTGTTGGCCGAAGTAAAAATTTTTCTTGAAATTCTATTCTTGGTGGAAGTAATTTTTTCTTAATTCAAATTATCATAAATACTTGATTCAATAAATTTTTGTATTTGATCGAGATTTTTAGATACCTTAGGAAAGCAGCGCCACTTACATCAGCTAAAAAAAAAATTTTCTCACCTTGAGAGGATTATTTTAGCGTGCAATTATACGTATTGAATGAAAAAAAAAATGATTCAATATTATTTGATCTTTCCATTTGACATTCTATTAATCAATAAAAATATTAATGAAAATTTACTTCTATCGAAATATTTAATTTTTTGGAGCAAGAGAGAAATTTTCTCAAAAGACAAGAAAATTTACTTCTATCAAGAACTAAATTTTTTGGAGCAAGAGGCTGAATTTTCTCAAAACAAGATTTTCTTGACTTAAGTAAATTTTCTTGGATCAAGATAGGTATTTCTTAAAGCAAGAGAATTAATTTAGTTGGAATAAGTGAAATTTCTTGTGTCAAAAAAAATTTTTTTTTTGCAAGAAAATAATTAGGAAGAAAAATATTTCCTTGGCTCAAATGAACCTTTTTTGATGTGTAGGACCTTTTTTGTAGAGAATTTAATTTTCTATGAAAATTGTTTTTTTATCATTTTTTCATATCTTCAATATTTCACTCGAAATAATGATAATAATAATCAAAATGATAAACCTTTTTTTTATTTTTCGTTTTTATATAAATATTTTTTTGAAAATATTTCAAGATATGAAAAAGTTGACGAGGATCTTTTTTATAGAGAATTTAATTTCCTACAAAAAAGACCTCATCATTCTTTTGTATTTTTCATATTGAGGCTAAAATAATGATAATACACGCAGAAAAATTTTTTGTTAGAACAACAAAAAATAAGTTGTGACAACAAATTGTTATGTTGATATAGGGATAACAAATAATATGTTGTGTTAACAAACACATAGGTTATAATAAGTATAATTCATATGTTAATTCAACAAAATTATTTTGTTATTGTAACCGAATCTTTCAATTATTTAAAAAAAATAGTTTTGTTGAAGTAACAAATCGATTTGTTAAAGCAACGGAATAGCTTGTTCAAGTCACAAATTTTATTGATAAGAAAACTATTTTGTTATTGCAACAAAAAAATTTATTATAATAACAAAGCGATTTTGTTAAGACAACAAAATTAACTTCAGAGCAGTAAAAACTCATTTGTTATTGCAACTTAGTTGATCTTGTTAAATAAACTAGTTGATTTGTTATTGAAAGTAAATTCATTTATTATCACAGCATATTTTTTTTTTTGTTATCCCTGTTTTTGTTGTCCTAACAATAATTTTTATGTGTGTAATAGAAGTCATTATTTTTTTTATTGGATATTAATATCATAAGTTGAGCTTGCGGAGACTCTTGTGGAGTGACCATAATAGTAATTGACGTTGAGGAGAGGCAGAAACAAATGTATTAAGTAATTTCCACAAACAACGAAACCCCGTAGAAAGGTATTGTATAGGTGTATGGCGGAGGATGAGAAGTAAGAGTAAATTTGAGCTCTGAACTGATGGAATAAGAAATAAGACGGGCAATAATAAAAATCCATCTAGTGATGAGTATTGTCGGGAATGCAGAAAGAAATAATGGAGAATCTAGTTAGAGGTTATTAGTCGGGTTGGAATGTTTTGATGGGGTGATGATCGAGGCCACCGGCCCCATAGATCGTCACGGGCTTGCTCTTTCTGCCGCTGATGATGCTCCATGGACTCTTTTTCGCGAAATCATTAATAAGACGCACGACGATACCAGGACATCGATGATGACAACCACGACCAGGACATTCGACGTAACACATCACTTTTAGTGTACATTATTTGTCTTTTTCAGACTCTCGGGTCACCGACACCCAAACGACACATTACCACCGGCGACACTTAGTGTCGTACGCTTTTTGTCTGTTCCTGTTTTTTTTTTTTTAACATTCGCGGTCTTATTCATACACTCCAATCACATCACCAGTTAAGTGCTCAGTTACTCTACAGTACCTCTATTCTTTATCTGGCCAATTGTCTTTAAATATTCAATTACATCACCATTATTATTACTATTATTAATTCTAAATAGCAAGAAAATATTTTAAGATTTGTTAGGATTTAATAACTCAATTTTTAATATTAAATAATTTAATAATAAATTTTTATCAATAGATACTGAATAATTTATCAAGCACGATTTATTAACAGTTAATAAATCTTTAAAGGTGTCATTTGTTAGTGAAATCATGTATGGAATTTTTTTTAAGACTGTCTGAGTTATTTAAAAAGTTCTAATAATTTTTAGTTAATTTTGTTATGAATTTGTGAATGTTTTTTTTTTAGTAAAAAATATTGCTTACCATCTAAGTGTGTAACGGCAATAATTGTAAAAAGTTAACTCACCTGAAACAGAAGAAAAAAAAAACATTAATTTTTATTCTTTATGAAAAAATTTAACAAATAAAATGAATAATTATGAATTAGTAAATATTTTAATTAAGAGTTAAAAAAAAATTTCTTAGACTTGATAAATTAATAAATTTTTTTTTATCAGTGTGTAAAAAATTTAAATTTACGATTTTTGGCAAAATATTTAAAAAATTTAGTGTGTAATTTTAATCTTAAATAATTTACTCATGATATAACCGTTGAAAAGACGCGGTGTTGTGCGGGGGTTTGCAATTTTTATAATTATTGTTGTTATTATCGTTATTTCTTGTTATTCTTGTTCTTCTGGTGCGTTAACTTGCTCGTGGGTCTCGGCTGCGGGTCGAATCATCTGAGAAAATCTCACGAGCGTTATTATTTACGGTGAGGAAACTCCAGGAGGAATCTCGTCGTTGAATCTGTCACGTACTGAGTAAACGCGATAGTTGTATTATTTTATATTTATATTTATATTTATATAAATATAGCTTAATAGGAGGTAGAAGGTAGGCAGACCCGAGTCCCGAGTCCCGAGTCCTCAGGAAACATTATATCATACTGCGGTAGCTCAAGATTGGATAAACCACCTAACCGGCTAAATTTCCAATCTACACTGTTAATTTTATCTCAATTCGCAGGATGATTAATCATCCAGAATTAATTACCCCGTAGTTTTAAATCACAGACAAATTTTTAATATGTTACTAACTATTTATTAGACTCATCAATATTTTATTACCATTTATTTGAGTGAATTAAATTATTAAATTAATTTACGGTGTCTGATCGGTTGTAGATAAATCTTGTCTATTCACTAGCTCGTATTTAGCCAAGTGTTGTCTAAGTCTGGATTTGTACGTCGTAACTTTCATGGAAATTTTTTTTAAACAAAGTTTAATCATTTATAGAAGATAGTCAAGTTATTTAAATTAATTATGACAATATTTGAACTGTCAAACACAGGCAAATCAAAATTAAGAAATTAACAAGTTGTTTGAACATATGGATCACTAAATTTTTCTGACGTCAATACTTTTTTCGTTTGAGTATATAACACCCGGGAATTTTATAGTTAGTGTCTGAAAAATTTTTTTAAGTTAAGTTGATACTTCAGGTATTTATTTTAAAAATGGTTTGCAAGTTGGTTATTTTTTCACTCTTCGCAGTTGCAATAATTCAGGTAAATATTTGAATATTTCTTTGGTAAATTAAAAATATTTTTGAAAAACATAAAAATTATTTTAAGGGTATTTTTATTTTTCAAATTGATTATTTTATCATAAAAATTAATGTTTATTAAATTTTATTATAAAAAGAATTAGTCTTGATACATATTGTCAATTTTTTATTTTTTTATTTCTATTTATTTATTTCCCAAAAGATAGATAAATATACATACATACATACATATATATTGTACATTTAAATCCTATAGAGGAAAACATAATGTTTCCTGTTCATAGGTTTGGGAGAAGTGAATAGGCAAATATGATATATATGAAGTACCATCATATATGCCTATTTAACAATATATGCTTAGTATTTAATAGATCTAACTTACTTAAATATGAATTATGAAGCGAAAAAATTATGAAAAGCACCATAAATATTTTAAAAACAATTACTCAAAAGGCGTATAAAAATATTTATAAAGTTAATAGTTGCTCTTGATCAAACAGTAACCATTTTCTTAGATAAGTATTTAATTGATTTAGTTAACGTTAGAGCATTCTTTATTTCATTTGGTAGGAGGTTAAAGTATTTAATTGCAGTATATAAAGGACTATTTTGGTACTTAGTCTTTGTTATTTTGTGTCCCTGTATTATTTTGTGTCTAGATCTGCCTTCATAGTTTTTATATTTATGTGTACAAACATTAAAGTATTTTGTCAGACTACTTAGAACGAATTGTTGTTTTATGTTTAATATATATATGATTGTATTCTATTCTTATTTTCTTTAATATTCTTTCTTGTATAGTAAAATTATAAATAATTATTTAATAAAAAAGTCCAAAAATCATCAGGTTTCACCGCGAGCGATCACTGACACCGGCCGAGAATGGTTGACAGGATTTATGGCGGTAAATATAAAAAAATTAAAATAAATAAAAAAAAAAATTTTATTTTTCAAACTTTATTGTCCAGGAAAAAATAATTCTAGTACCAAATAAAATCATGAAGGCAGCTTCACCCGATCAAATCAACCACATGATCGCGGAAGTTGCCAAAATGAACATGACTTTCAAGCCAGTCAACGAAATGACGCGTACCGATTTTGCAGAGCTGCAGCAGGAGATTATAACGCTTTTAAATCACACAATAGAAGAAAAACATCTTGAAGAATAATCGAACAATGCGTTTGAAATTAAATTAAATTGTGAGTAACATAAATTTAATTGAAAAAATGTATTTAATATTGTTTGAATATAAAAAGAATGAAACGTAACCAATTATCGATTATTATTAAAGTAATTTTAAATAGATATTAACCAATAAAAGTGTTAGTCCATCGGTTCCTACTTAAGAACAATAAACTCACCGTGGAAGCTCGCTAAGGCGTTAATGGAGTATGAAGTCCGCGGAAACCCGAGTGGATATAATGTGCAATAAATAAAGAAGCCTGCGGAAAATTCTATTGACCCAGGTGATGGTTGCGGTGGTGTTTAGAGCCGTGTTAATTTTATAATAACTGCTTTGCAAGAGTGGAGGCAAGAGAAGATGAAAAGAACACAAATGAAGAAGTTTCTCAGTCCTAGAACTAGCTATAGATACAAGTATGGAAGCTCGCACGAGAATCGTTTCACCCGATCCGATACCAGTATAATAATCGTTTTAAAATAAAGATTTCTCATATATACAGCGTACATAGCGTACATAGCGAGAGGACAGGAGGATATAACACTACCCGACTGGCCAATAGTGTGTCCGAACACAGGATGGGAATCCCCGGGGTGGCTCACAATTTACTATTATCCAGATTGCAATCTCTTGTTTATCTCTCCTTTAACCCCGCCAGCATCTGCCAGTTCCCTCTTGTACTAGAAGATCCTTTATACCCCGTGAACAAGACACCAGCGAGTTTCATTCATTTTTCTGTATAAATCATGCACAGAAAAAAAAATTTACTTGAATCAAGTAAATAATTTTGAAGAACTTCATTTTCTTGATTTGATTAGAAAAATTTGTAAACTAAGAAATTTTTCTTGGGTTTAGTAAATTTTACTTGATTCAAGAATTTTTCGTCTTGATTCAAGACAATAAAATTCTTCAAAATTATTTTTTGGTTCAAGAATTTTTCTCTTGAATCAAGTTAATTTTTTTTTCTGGGTGGATAGTTGGAAAACTAGGCAAAGTGGTAGTAGCCCCGTCCAGGGCTACTACCACTTTGCCGGGGAGGGGGGAAGTGAGTTCGACCGAAATCACCGCTGTCCATCTTACAGCAACAAAGAAAGTTAATTTCTAATGTATATACATCAAATTTGTGAGAATATTACAAATTGATAGAAAATAGCAAATTTTTTGAAAAAGTATCTGAGTAAAAAATTATAAATTTCAAAAAAATTTGTTAAAATACTTGAGATTTTATTTTATTTTAAATTATAATTTTTTTTATTTTTGAAAAGAATTTTAAAAAAAAATCCCTTGAATTTATTAATTTTTTTATAAAAAATTATCAACATCCTATCAAAAAAAAAAATTCGAGTAATTCTGAATTCAAGACAATAAAATTCTTCAAAATTATTTTCTTGGTTCAAGTATTTTTTTTTTTTTGATTCAAGTTAATTTTTTTTTTCAGTGTGATGATCAACCTTTTCAAATAGACTTTTCTCTTGAGTAGAATTAATTTTTTTTCTTCAAATTTTTACAGTAAGGTTTTTAAAGCAAAATCAAATTGTAAAAAATTTTTACTCTTAAATTAGATAGTTTGTCCCGTTGATATCCTTAAAAGTCCTGGCAAGCAAAGCCGTGAAAATTGGGTCGATTGCACAACATAAAATGGTTGAATGAATATCAAACTGATATAATAATAGAATAAATTTACTGATATATTTGCACCGTGGGCTTTGGGATGAGGAGCCGTGTGGAAGTGAAGAATGCAAGGAATTTAGTATGTCCTAGCCGTGGCCGGGGAAGCTGGTAAAAGAGATATACAGAGAATTTAAAAGCGACTCTCAGCAAGTTGAGTAAGACTCTTCAGCAGGGCATGTAATGGTGGTCGTATGCCCACGGTTGTTGTTGCTGCTGCTGTTTGTTGTTTGTTGTTGTACGTATGTCGAGCGTATAACGATAATGTCAACGTCCTTGCGGTCTTTCGGCCCTACCTATGTTTGCTTGGCGCACATTAGCGCTAATTAGCGCCTTCCTACGAGGAACGTCGCCACAGAGTAAAGACGATTACATATAGAGAGTCTCTTCACTTAACTTGAGGAGACTCGTAAGGCTTTACAAATATAAACTTATATATTTATATACCTTATGCCTTATACTTTATACCTGGTACGGTGTATATCCAAGGATTTTATCCCAGTACAATCTTTAGTTGGCTAACCACCAATCTCGAAAAATAACTTCTGCTACTACTCTCTTATTTCAGCTTCTTTCTTTATTTCTTCACTTACTCCACCACACCGGACGTAACAGTTTTATTTGACCATTTACTTTCAATCCATCCATAAACCATAACATAACCCAATTCAATTTTATTCTTGATTTCGGCTACACCTTTTTTAAATCAATTTTAAGACGAGCACAGGAAGAGCACGTGGATCACGGTTTTATTGCCACTTTCGGTTGGTACTTGTATATAAGTTGTATCCGCCTTTGAGCTTCGATGCTTTCACTTTCGTCGAAACCCATTAAACGGTGCAACAATTTATGTTTTCAACAATTTAAAGAGTAAAATTGAAAAATTAGAGGCTGGAGTTGAAAAAAAAAGTCAATCAGTATTTGAAAAAATTTTTTTACTCTTTAAAATTGAGTTTGATTTTTTTTAATAAAATGGATAAATTTTTTAATTAAGAAATCTTAAGTCAATTTAATTATAATAAAATTTTTTTTTTTTTATGAATTTGTCACTAATTTTACTAGTGATTTTATTTTTTACTAATTGTTAAATTTTTTGCTACTAATTTCATTATAATTGTTTCTTTTTTTTATTATTAAGGCTCATATTATTTTCTGTATTTTCACTGAATTAATCGTTAAATATTTATTAACTCACAGTGACTCGAATTAAACTGGAAAAATGATTAAAATTTGACTGGTTAAATTTTAGAGAGCATTCATAGTGGATCCCCACGATGAAATAATTATCATGAAACGACCCGAGACGGCAATTATTTTACGTAGAGAATATACATAATAGATACTAAAGGTATGTACAGCACTTGGCGAATAATTGATTGTGTTGTAAATATTTAAGCAAATACTATGAATTAGCGATCGTTTAAAAGAGCCAGAGGGTAATGGAATAAAAGAGGGGAATAACCTGGACTGCAACCAGCATCAACATCAGCATAGCACGTGCATAAGCAATTACGCGTATGGCGAAAGCACACGCGACGATTTAGCTTTGTGGAAGCGGTACGGTGGCAATTGCTGCAATCTTCGCGACCCACATGCGTGTTTCCCTTGGTTATTGCTTTAAACGTATAATACATACATAACGTCTACGTACATTCATACATAACATTAACAGTACAAAGTAATAGCGAACACCCTGCAGAACAGTGCTATTATATACAACCACAATACAATGTTGCTGCATATGGCTTTATTACATCTACTAACTATGTTATTCTATGTCCACCGCAATTAAATTGGTTACTCTGACTCTATTATTGCTCAACTAATTAATTAGTGTTAACATTCTAGTCTTTTTTTTTTTTTTTCCATTAAACCCAGCAAAAATTTATCTTTTAATATACTGATAAAAAAATTTTTTTATCAAATGATTATCTATATATTATTAAAAGAATAAAAAAAAATTTTATGTCCAGGATAGTCAGATGACAAAATTGGTTTTTTTTTTAGTGAAATTCACTGTCATTGCAAAGGTCTTGATTTGAATTTGTGCCTTTTTAAGCTTTTATCATCATTTTCACCGATAGTCAATTTATTATGATAAGTATTTAGGCTGCATTCGAAAATTCTCTATTTTGTGTCTTGTGAACTATTGACATTTTCAAAGATATAAGCTCATCCTGATGTTATAAACTCATCGAAACCTTTCATTTGAGTACCCACATCAATTTTTCATATATTTTATATATTTATATATTTCACAAATATATATATAAATATAAAATATATAAAAAATACCATGTGGGTACTCAAATGAAAGGTCTCGATGAGTGTAACATCGGGATGAGCTTATATCTTTAAAAATATCATTAATTGACTAGATACAATGTCATTTCTTAATTATTGACATTTTTGAAGATATAATCTCATTCCGATGTTGTATTCATCAAGACCTTTCATTTGAGTACCCACGTGGCATTTTTTATATATTTTATATACTTATATATTTCAGAAATACCATATATATAAAATATATAAAAAAT